TTTGCTTCAGCTCCATTTCTGTGGTCCTAATGTCATCAGGCACTTCTTCTGTGACATGCCCCAGCTGCTAACTCTGTCCTGCACTGACACGTTCTTGGTCCAAGTCCTGACCGCTATACTAACAGTGATCTTTGGAATAGCAAATGCCCTGGTTATCATGGTCTCCTATGGCTATATTGTCACATCCATCATGAAGATCACATCAGATACAGGCAGGTCCAAGGCGTTCAACACCTGTGCTTCTCACCTGACAGCTGTCTCCCTCTTCTATACCTCGGGCCTGTTTGTCTATATAAGTTCCAGCTCTGGTGGCTCCTCCAGTTTTGACAGATTTGCATCAGTCTTCTACACTGTGGTGATCCCCATGTTGAATCCCCTAATTTACAGCCTGAGGAACAAGGAGATCAAAGATGCCTTGAAGAGGCTGAAGAAGAGAATCACAGTCTACTGCTAAGGTTATAGCTGTGGAACTTCTAACAGAGTTGGCCAATCAGACTCACCTCCCCCCACAATAATGTACCCATGACTGGCTCTACAAGTTCCACACTGACTTTGATGAAGCTTAATTACAAACAGACAAACTGCCAATATCAACCAGTAGCTGATCTGATGTCACCAAGCACAGTATCTCTATTCTGAAAAATAATATTCATTATTTTCACCCTACATCTTGGGTTACCTCATAATTTGTTAATATAGCCACAGGTATTTGTGAGAGAGCAAGTTTTAGAAACTTTACTTCTTTTAGCTTCCAAGTTTGAAAACTTCTCAATCTTAGGGTTTTGTCTCTAAAATATAGACTCTTACAGAGTTCTCCATGATCTGAAAAGCTTCTCTTGTAAATACTATGATGAAGCATCATAAAGACATGGTGGTGACATTGATTCTCTTGGGTCTGAACATGTGGAAATAATAGGAGATCTAACACTGGAAAGAAATAAAGCTGTGGATTGGCCTAGTTGTGCTTCCTGGAAAGGAAAGACCATGATGAGGCAGCTACAGTTTGTCTAAGGCACAGACACTGCAGCATCCTTCATTGTCAATCATCTAACAAGGTTCTGTTCATATCCTTTCCTCCACCAGCTGATGTCCAAGGAAGAAAGAAGTGATCTAAACCATGAAGAGTGGCAGAAAGCAGGGTATGATCTTTTCAGTACTTTCACTCATTTTGATGATTGCATTTTTGAATCTAGCCTCCAGTGAGGATTTGTGATGGAAAATGATATCCAAGGTCCGCTTCTCACCTAATAGCAATATCTGATGTAGGACCCTGACCTCTCTTACAATTTCTCATTGAATCCAGAAAACTTACCCTTGGTTGACACAGCCAAAGGGATAATACTATCAGATCATTTCTAATATCTCAAGTACCTGTTCAAGTTTGCTATAAGAAAACTTCTGTGACTTGAGTGTAATAAATACAGTGATCTAGACCTGTGTGAGTTCATTCAAGTCATGGAGACTAACAACAGATATAAGAAACCGATGCACACTTTTTCCTGTAGCTTATTTTCAACACTTTGTGTTCTAGAGTTTTAAGGTGTCTGAAATAATACAATGGAAGGAAAAGAGTGACTTACTTGCATATTGATATTTCACAGGAAGCTCCAAGACCTCTAAGAGGAAATGGTGGTACAGACAGGCCTCTTCTTTCTGCCCCACTATCCCTGTCTTAAGGAAAATATAAAGCTTGTGGTTCTAGCTTTCTGGTAAAAAGAGGAACAAGATGTGTAACAACAATGACTTCAGTCACACTGGTTAGATACAAACTGACTTACACAAACCAGAAGTCATGACATTTCCATATTCTCTATGGATATTCATTCGAGTCTTAATTTTGTAAAGGGGTCCAATCTGACAAGTCACACAGCTTCTTCTGTTTAGTGGAGGACAGTGAACAGGAGCCATTCAAAGGCTGTGCCAAGTTTCTGTGAGTGGACATTGGCCAGGGTTTCAAGCAAGGGAAATGTAGAGGCTCTGAGAAAATGTGATGGCTCACCCTAATCCAAAGAGACGGTGAAATGTGAATAAAGAGCACATGGCAGCCAGCCAGACATAGGTGTGTGCTTCGAAGCATCATTCATTGAAGATGTGTAAGAATGTATGAGAAACTGTTCCTGAAGGACTATGAGGGCTTTCATGGGAGTCCTTCACGTATTAGATGTGAGTGGAGGATTTTTACACACCATTGAAAACCACTTCTCTTTACCTTTAATTTTGAAAAAAA